AACTCGGGACACCCAACGAAGCTCTTTGCAATAATGGTCGAGTCTGTCCGCTTAAGCTGAAGCTGATCATAATTTTAAATTTCAGCTGGTGCCTAGTGCCTGGTGACACAAACAGTTTGAGGTCGTTTTGCGCTAGTCGTCTGCATTGCAGTAACTAGACTAGATCGTAAAGATCCGTAAAGAGCTAATGCGCTCCTGGTTCAATGTACTGCCCGCAGAAGTGTGTGAGGGAGGGTGGGCAACGGGCAGACTTGCCTCATCACACATGAAGCTCCATTGGACCACAAAAAGGCGGGTTAGCCTGGGCCTGTAGGCCTGTAGCCTCATATACTTTACCTTACATCATCAACCCTTGGTTCACAGTTCACACGCATAAAAGGAAGACTGACATGGCTTGCTCAACACTTCCCGCTGTGCGAATCATCTACTTGAATACTTCAACTGCTTCAGAAAAATATTGCAGCAAGCAACAAAAGGAGTCTTTGCAAGTTCTCTCATCACACTCCCAAACCGGAGCTCAATGGAAACATAGGCCATGCTGGAGGCTGGCGCGCGCTTGAAACACCTTGTAATGTGGCTGTGGACCCCCTCCACCGATCTTTCTGACATCCGGATCATAGCCAATCGTCCCAACCATTTAGTTAGAGGCTCAAACTCCTCCTCTTGTAGGTCCGCTCCCTTCACAACTGCCTCTAACATTGGACGCAGTGGCACATCACTTGGATTGTCCCCAACAAAGGTATGGGAGAGAAACCTTTGGGACATCCGATGGTCTCTGCCAGGAGAATCAACATTGTCATACAACTGCAAGCACTCACGAGCTGCTTTCATGGCCAACTCACGCCTATGATGGGCCACCCCTATCAAATGCCAGGGGAGCTGCCGGAAATAATACAATTTAGTCACAATTTCTGCCCAAAGGCGGCAGCGTGCCATTGTCCAGTCACGATGTAACTCATATGCAGCTCGGTGGTCCTTGTGCTGATTGCTAGATACCAGTTCGACTGTATACTGCAAGAAGGTAGGCTGCGCAGCAATCCTCAAAGACTGAGACTCAGACAAACTCTTTTGAACTTTGGTTCAGTTCTGTTTGTTTGTGGCATCAATCAATCACCTCAATTACATCTCTTCGAGATTCATGACTTGTCACCACAACATGAAGACTCACTCACTTATCTACAGATTCAGATTCACTCTCAATGTTCAACCCCAAAATTCACAGCGCAATTTCAGCCAAGGCTCATTCTTTGCTTCAGGCGTCTCAGAGCACACCCAGTTGCCATCTCTGGCGCTCGGCAGCAGCGCATGGGGCAAGAAGCAGCATCGGCTAAAGTGGCAGATTTCCTTGATCTCTGAGAGGCACGATTGACTCTGCCAGCCTGAGGTCAATGATGGTTGCAATTCCCACCAAGGTTTTATATATGGGTCACGCCCACACAACCGCAAACGACCGCTTTGTTCCCTCCAATCCAAAGTATCCAAAGTTCAAACAAGAAGAGTCGCATTGATTGGACATGACTGGACGGTGACTTGACATGACATGACATGGCCTTGTTTGCTGCCCACGCCATCAAGTCAGCTTCATGGCACCAACAAGATTCGCAAAAAGATCCAACGAATTCTGCTTCCTCGCATATTTCATTGACTGCACGCACCGTTGCCCAGAATGACTTGTTGCGGACGGAGGCATCAATCACATCAACATTCAGCCTCAAGCTACAATGCCGTGGGCCACGGCGCGGCCACGGCCAATGCATTGTCACACTGCACTAAACTACTTTGCACTTTGCGCTCACACCTATCGCCATAGCCATCAGGCCAGGCCCAACTTAGTTTCTAGCTGAGGCTGTTTAGGCTGTTTGATGGCTTAAACTGACACGGGACAGGGCCAGGGACAGGAACTTAACGAAAGCAATCAATCAATCAATGACAAACACACATTTGCCAAAGTTTGCCAAAGGAGCGAATATTCATCCTCAACCCCCTCTGGCAGAGGTTTTTTTGCTGATTTATTAAGGCCCTTGGAAAAGCTCTGCTTGCTCCAGCGCTTGCGTAGGATTTGCTCGACTCGAAGCAACTTAGATAGCATGGCGCAGCGTCACAGCACACCCAACAAATCTATCAATTATCAATCAATGAACAAATAATCAATCTATCAATCTCAATCTATCAACGTCGGTGGAAAAATGAAAACAGATAATCAAGTCAACAGCATGGTGCTTCCCCACAAAAAGCAGTAATGGCCTCCCAACGCAGTCCCTTCAATGAAGCTTGCCAGCTGGTAAATGCTGGCCATTCTACTTCTGGGATGCACTGGCTCATGAAATGTTCACGTGCGTAAGGCCTCACAAATAGCTTCTCCAAGCATCTCAACTGAGATAGGAAACCAGGCCACCTCGCTGTCACCGAGCTTTGTTTGAACAATTGCGAGTAGATCACACTGACTATCAGACAGTCAGTCAGCCAGTTAATATTCCTCATGATATGTTATGTTTGGCCAATACCATCACCATCAGCCAAGGAACGACACCATCTTGCCCAGAGAAGCGTCCAATAGATTGTCACATACATGCTTCGTCCCGACAATGATGATGTTGTTGGGCAGCCTGAAATGAATCACTCCGGACTCCACACTCCAGACTCCAGAATCATGAATCTGTTCTGAACATGACCTGACCAAGACCAACAAACCAAACGAAACAATGCAATCATCATAATCAACAACAACATCATCAATCATCAATCATCATCATGATAATCAAGCCAGCAGCAGAAGTTCCACAGAATCATCTGTTTGCGCAGGGGCTGCAGCCGTTGCAGCAGCAGCAGCGGTGCCAGTGCTAAGACCAGAATGGGCCACCTGACAGTGTGTCAGCATCACAGTGTGTGCGTGTGTGCGCCAGTGTGCGCGTGCTCGTGTACATATATATATATATACAATATATATATATATACAATATATATATATGTGTGTGTGACTGTGTGTGTGTCACATATCAATATCACATATCATGAAGGCCAGCTGCAGCTCCTGTCTGACCAACAGGCCCGAGCCTCCTCACTGGTGTTCTTGGCAGCGGCAGCGGCAGCTCCCATAACTGCCAGAAGGTCTGTAGCGCCTGACTGTCAGGACTCGACTGTCAGTGTCAGTCTGCTGGCGCTCAGTACTTGCTGCTACTACTGCTGCTTACACAATCTTATCGTCTTATAATATTATCTATTTGCTATTACACATCGATCTTAACGATGATATTGCACATGCAAATTGCACATGCTTGCAATTCCACCAATAAGACAAGGGACTCTGGCCCTGGCCCTGGCCCTCTTGATGTCCAGTTAAATGAAGATCAAAGTCAGCGTGAGCAGCAGCAGCATCCTGATCCGCCTGATCCTCTATGGATACCTGACATGGTTGCGGTTGCAGCACTGCACACTGCAGACTGACAGCACTCCCTGGTAGAATCAGCCAGTTTTGGTTTTAGTCTCTTAAGTCTTAGTTTTGACTCTAAGTCTAAGTAGTCTAAGTCATCTGGAATCTGTATACTCAGTGACTCAGTGACTCAGTGAGTGAATGCAGCTGAAACACGAACCTGGGGCGAAACTCAATAGCAGAAAGGCAATTGGCCAGAGTTTTGGCATCATCATCAATCACCATCCTGAGGTCCACAGCTGGCAAGGTACCAAGAGCAAGTTCTGTTCCTGAGCCAAGTGCAATACTGACACTGACACATATTGTATATATGATACTGCGTCGCGGCCTCGCGTATTCAAAATTCAATCACAAGATCAGCATTTTATCACATATTACATGACATATTGACATATTGTACAAATATATGTGATAGTCTGATAGACTTGACACAACCTAGATACATATTATTACATTACATAACAGTAACACACACATATATATATATATATCGTTATCGTTGTTATAGTTGGCTGGCTTATTGGTCTCCTCCAGTCTCCCTACTACTGCCGCCATTACCTGCTCTACTGTGAACTGCCACCGACCGATGTTCGATTCTGATCTGACAACTGACAATTGATCACAATCACCAATCACCCATCACCCAATTGCGCCTTGGTCTGAAATTGTCGCTATCACTTGAAGCCGGTACTGGTCAAAGTGCTCACCACACTCAAGATGCAGCATATGTAGCAAAGCTGCAGCCTTGTCCTCCAGTGCTGTGGCTCCTCAGTCAAGTCATAGTCATAGTGCATATGCCCTGAGTTCAGTCAGTCGAGTTAAGAAGAAATGCCAGAAAGAGTTGAGTGAGTGAGGGTAGTAAATGAGAGGCAGTCACGCAAGACACATGACTCACAAGACACGCCCTGCTCCTCGGCCCAGTGTGACTGGAGGCAGGATACGCTGGATGAGTTGACAGTTGTGTTTGACCCTCATCATGTGCAGTTTCTCAAGGTCAATGGCCTCTACACCACCAGGATCAGCAGCAACGCTACTGCTATCAGTGTCACTGTCATGTGCCTGATCGATAGTAATAGCCGCTCTGATTGAACCCGACGCCGATCCCCTATCCGGACCCTCAAGCTGCTTAATCACCTTCCTTGTCCTCTGTGAGTTCTGGTGCTCTGCATACTTCTGGCTGAGCTTGAACGCTTCTTGAGCTGCATGGATCCTGCGTGAATGCTTCCCACCCCACCATCATCATGGTGTTACTGTTTTGTTTTACTTGCGACTTGTTAGAGGCAGTGTCAGAGACTGGGACCGGGAATGGGGGTCGGGCTCAGCTGAGCGGCTCAGGCTAGGAATCTGCTAAGCTTTGACTTTGGCCTTTGGCTTTGGACTTTGGAATTGAGCTGTTGAACAAGCGATCAACATTAAACTAAGCGGCAAATTGCAAATTGCGCTTTGCCATGGCAACAGGCCATGGTCTGAGTCTAAGTCACACGAAGAACCAGAGTCAGCGTCAGCGTCTCAGCGCTGTCAGTCAGTCACAAAGACACAATTACAACTACAACCAACACTACTGGCCAGGTCACGGTATGGAATGCTCTTGAGCGATCATCATCTCTTTAGACATTGTTGTCGCATCATAACCTGAGATGATTCAATTCAGCTGTGACAGTGACACTGGAACTAAAATAAAAAGTTCACAAGGCATGTCAATGTCATGAATGCCACAGCTACCACAGCACACTAACACTCTACCACTCTACTCGCATGACTCAAATCTACTCAAATAATATATCAATGAATCAAAAAAGGTATGCCGTATGCCGTATGCCAACCGACCAACCAACCAACCAACCAAGCTAAGATACCTAGCTGAATGGATGTATCTTTGATGACCTTCCTCCAATGATGTCGTCTGATTATCATCAGTGCAAGGTCTACTTTTGCTCGAGCTCTACTTAGTGTTGCTCCACTAGGTGTTGCCATCTTGCTGACGCTGCTAGCAGCAACACCACCCTCAGCGTCAAACATCAGTTCCAGTACACCCATCAACGTCTCGGTCATCTTGGAAGAATTCCTCAAATTGATTGACCTCGGCCGGGCAACGCTCTGTCAATGCTATAGCCATAGTATAGTATTGCGTTTTACCAATTCAAGTCTAGAATCTTGTTTGGTTTGAGGCTTGAGGCTTCAACCAACTTTCTGTTTAGGAATTTGGAAAATGTGAATGGGAATTAGAATTGGGAATCTTTGTCTTTGTCGTCATTGAATTGTATTAGTCTATTTGGCTGTGTGCGGTCGTGCTTCACTTTCAAAAAGCGAAAGAGCTGAGGCAGGTTGTAGTAGGCTGATCCCTTGCCAGTCCTAGTCAAAGGCATCAGCATGCTAGGGCGCTGCTGAACTGCATTGTCCTGGTTCTTGATGGCAGGCACCTGTACAGGGACATGAGGCAATACCTAACACCGTACTAATACTATACTACTACCTACTCTCTTGCTACTTGCCAACAAAGGACCTTGCAGCAGCGTACACACATACAACAGCAGGCAAGCCTTCTTGATCACATTCACCAAAGTTTGCATGCCAGAGGTGTAAGCTGCAATTGCAGCTATGTCTCCACAGCGAAAGATCACTTCGCCACATTTCAGAAAGCAGCAATGAGCAGCATCTAGATCTTCGTACAAGCCCATGGCCCATAACCATGGACAATGAATTCTGAATTCAATTCTGATATTAGATTAGATATGACAAAAATATCAACTCTCTCACTGTCTGCCTTCTGTGTGACAGTCCGTGTAGTCAGTCAGTGATGTAAATGTAATGTATGTAAAATGTAAACTGTCCAAAATCAAACACATAATCCATCAACCATCTGTAACGGCGATGTAGGTGAAGGTGGCCTGCGACCGGCTGTTACTATTTTGGTCCAGTCCAATTTCAATCCTGTCTAGCCTAGCCATGCAGCAAGTTGCAAGGTTTCTTGCATTTCCAGAGCCAGCGAAAACATCATGCAACTGGTCACCGGTCCCGCTCTTATATACCTTTCAATTGGTCCTGTCCTGTCTTGGAGCCGTTTCTACAAACAAACACCCCCCCATTCAGTGTGACATCATCATGAACACTATAATTATGGCATGTATTAGTTTTCCTGCTTTCCTCATTTACTTCATACACACCCAAAAATATAAGACAGCTCCAGAAATATAACGCACTACCTGCGCAATTTGGCAGTCTCAGCACACCAGATTTTAGGGTTGGATCAGTCTGGTCCGTCCGATTGCGGTCAGTCTTGTTCGTTCCTGGTCTCGGTGTACCCTGCCCAAGCTTTTAATGGACATGTGACCAACAACCAGGCCTACCTGCAAGCTGACTTCCTTTCAGAAACTCCAGCAATGATCCAAGACACCCCCAGCAACCCCAAGAAAGATAACATAGAAATACATAGAACAACTGCTGGCATCCAAGTTTCAAGAGACATCTCGCACACGCATTGGCTCTTCATGCCTTTGTTGAAATTACCTTCATCTCATCACGATTGCTCTATAATGCACTAAACAGTATCATAGTATGACATAAAATTACCTACATCGGGAAAACACACACACAAAAAAAAAACTCAGACGCTTCAGCACGCGGCAAAACACATCTGTCTTCGACCTCGCGTCGTGAACGCGAACGCGTCGTCCTTCGCGATGGCCGAAGAGGACGCGATGGCGCGGAACGTTCACGAACTTCGACGCGATGGACGACGACCACTTCGCCTCGAGACTTTGGAGGCGTTCTCCAGGACGATGTTGTAACTGGCATCGCGGACGATGTTCAGAAACCGAGAGGTCGAGGGAGAGGTCGAGAGGGAGAGGTAGAGGTAGAGGGAGAGGTCGAGACGACCGAGACGACCGATGTCGCGGTTTCCACGGCTTCGAAGTCACTGGGGCATGTGGTGGAAACGGCTTCGAAGTGGAATGATCATCAATGATCCATTTGTAGTTTGTATTAATGTGTTTTTGTTTCTTTGGTGTAGGATGTCTGACAAACACAGGAAACAAACATGACAGAGACTGACTGATGAGTGGGGCACCAATCCCTTGTTGTTTGGTTTCAACATGTTTCGACATATAAACTGATTGACCCGGAATACTGATTGACCCGGAATGCATGAAGGCCAGCGCAAGGCTTGGGATCTTGAAATACTCCGAAGAGATAGCCGCTCGACGGACCGCTTCAACTGCACCGAAGAGGTCGACGAGCTGCTCAGCCACATCACCTCTTCTTTCAAATTGCCATCTAAAGACTTGAGAGAGGAGGGGGTGAACGAAAGGTAGCAGGCAATCACAAGTAACCAGATTCCCATTACCACCCTCATGTGTGGAGTCCATTTCTCAAACCACCCTGTGTGCCGACCCACCCCGCCGAACCACCACCCGAAGGTCCGTCGATCCATCCATCACCCGCACGGTGACGGTCCCGAAACACCGACGAAGGGCGGAGACATGGAATTGCTCAGATCAACCTAGCTTCTCGCTACTAGATGCTACTATGGTAGTAATGCCCTTGTTACTAGTAGCGATGCCTTTGTTACTACTGTAGTAGCCATGCCTTTTGTTACTACTGTAGTAACGATGCCTTTTGTTACTACTGTAGTAGCCATGCCTTTGTTACTACTGTAGTAGCC